AAAACTGGGTATTGTTATTTTTAACTGTTTTGCTTGTGAAGGCTGTTTTTTTTTTTTTTTTTTTCTTATCAGGATAGCAAAAACCACAGTATTAGGGGTTCCATACTTCTCTCTAATAAAACTGATCTTCAGCATGTGTGTGCTTTGTGTATGTGAATATTGTTTCTGCCAAGCTGTTGTCATCGGTTCATTGGATTTCGTTGTGCAATACAGTATCTGCTTCCTAAGCAATGTTTTTGTGTCTCTGACTTTTACTAGTAAATTGGGAAGAAGTGATCAAGGCTGTGATATCATCATAGGAAAATGGTTCCTAATTGATATCTGAAGCAGGGGTTTACTCATGTTTTAATGCAAAAGCTATTCACTTATGCTTTTGGATTTGCACTTCATTACCCCCGAATTCTAATGCAAATTGGGTTCCGATTTGCAAAGAACTTTGCCTAAGAGGTCAGGCTTGAAAAAAATGTACAAGTGTCCTGATGTGAATGAGAGAAAATGAGAAATCCCTTTGCGGGGAAGCAGCCTTGTCTGACATTTGACATTTAATTACAAGCCTCTCCAGCAAGACACCCAAATTATACCACTTCAGTGATTTCTATAGACATAACTGACAGGGACCATACAGCGTTCCCGACTTAAGCATTAAGAAAGGCAATCTTGAGGCTTGAACAACAGCTACATTTATTTATGAAGCCAGTGCAAAGTCCCTTGATGTGTTATCTGAGAACAATGGCACTCAGAATGCTAACTTATGGATTTTGTGGCTAAGTGGAAGCCATATTTAATTTTAGGATGCTTTTAACATTACAAAATTTTATTCTCAAGGGAAAGGCTAAATACATAAAACACTTATTGATTTTGGATGATTTACCAACACGAGGGCCCAGTATACCCTTTTACTGAAGCAAAAAAGATTATGCATTACAGAAGGTTAATACTCCAATATTAACCATAGATGGGAAGATATTTCACAAAGAGTCATGAACCATGAGATATCTGTCTGTCTCCAGGAACACTGCAATGCTGAGTGACATAAGTCGCCATACATGAATCAAAATTCAAGCAGGTCAGCAGGGACTGGCCAGTTTTCAATCCATGTATGGGCAGGGAGGTTGTACAAAAGTCAAGTTAAAGATCAACTTCTATACAATCTCCCTGTCAGAATTGTGCTGCTCAATCAGCAGCACTGGTTATAGCCTGCAGCACTGATCAGTATATTCAGTGGGGGAGTCGCACTGCTGTCAAAATACACTAGCTCAGCAGGGAGGATTCCCCCATCCACATCCAGTGTGTGGATGGGAGGAATCAAGTCAGTTTTTTTTTTTTTTCAACCCACTTGTTGAATAAAAAAAAACAGACTCTAATATGGGCTGCCTTGGCTAACAAATACACAAAGAAGAAATCTTTTCCACTGAATTAGTATTTTTTTTTATTGTAGACACTACATCTCTTTGTATTCATGTGCTTTTGTTTGTTATGTGTGTGTACAATAATGAGTGCTAATGACACTTAGAAGCAGGGATGTGCAATTCACATGTAGTTCCGGGCGTCGGGCAGGTGGTTTTTATTTTATTTGCATTTAGCCCTGCAAGCATCAGGGTTTCCTTTTTTTTTTTTTTTTTTTGCGGGTGAAGCATGAACAGATCTTCATGCTACACCAAAGTTAGTAGGCTCTCCGCTCATCCATGCTGCTCCCTCAGCCCATCCACTCTGCTTGGCGGCCCAGTTCAGTCCCAGCCACTCCCACACTTCTCTTACTCTCCTCCTCCTTCTTGGACATGCTGACAAGCTGCCCTTCCCGCACCCCTCACCTCAGCACTCGCTCTCCTCTCCATTTGTATCCCTCCGTCTGCATACACTCTTCTGCAGAACACACGCTCGGTATGCCACCTCGGACCATCCACACGCTCGGCATGCCACCTCGGACCATCCCCACGCTCGGCATGCCACCTCGGACCATCCCAACGCTCGGCATGCCACCTCGGACCATCCCCACTCTCGGCATGCCACCTCAGACCATCGCCACTCTTGGCATGCCACCTCAGACCATCGCCACTCTCGGCATGCCACCTCGAACCATCCCCACGCTCGGCATGCCTACCTCAGACCATCCCCACTCTCGGCATGCCTACCTCGAACCATCCCCACGCTCGGCATGCCTACCTCAGACCATCCCCACTCTCGGCATGCCTACCTCGAACCATCCCCACGCTCGGCATGCCTACCTCGGACCATCCCCACGCTCGGCATGCCTACCTCGGGCCATCCCCACGTTCGGCATGCCTACCTCGGACCATCCCCACGCTCGGCATGCCTACCTCGGGCCATCCCCACGTTCGGCATGCCTACCTCGGACCATCCCCACGCTCGGCATGCCACCTCGGACCATCCCCACGCTCGGCATGCCACCTCGGACCATCCCCACGCTCGGCATGCCACCTCGGACCATCCCCACGCTCGGCATGCCACCTCGGACCATCCCCACGCTCGGCATGCCACCTCGGACCATCCCCACGCTCGGCATGCCACCTCGGACCATCCCCACGCTCTCGGCATGCCACCTCGGACCTCGGACCATCCCCACGCTCGGCATGCTACCTCGGACCATCCCCACGCTCGGCATGCCACCTCGGACCATCCCCACGCTCGGCATGCCACCTCGGACCATCCCCACGCTCGGCATGCCACCTAGGACCATCCCCACGCTCCGCATGCCACCTCGGACCATCCCCACACTCCGCATACCACCTCGGACCATCTCCACACTCCTCATGCCATCTCGGACCATCCCCACGCTCCGCATGCCATCTCGGACCATCCCTACACTTAGCATGCCACCTCTGACCATCCCCAAGGTCAACATGCCACTTCTGACCATTCCCAAGGTCAACATGCCACCTCTGACTATCCCCACTCTCAGCAGGACACCTCTGTAGAGATGGTGAAATTGCTGAGTGAAGGGATGGTCAGTCTTAATTAAATACATTTTTGGTTAGAAAAAAAAAAAATGATCATGACAAGTAGATTGTCTTGAGAGACAAGTAGATTGGGACCCCGATTTAGTCCCTTGGACATGTAGTTTTTTTAAAACATTTCCACACCCCTGAGAAGTCATTGTTGCTCAGAAATTAACCCTTTTCTATTTCCATCATGCCTGTCTGTGCAGCAACACTGTGTGCCTGCATTACCTTGAATAGTTGGTGCAGAGATGTAGGATGAGGACATTTCTTAGCAAAGCAAATATGGTTAAGTAGAAAACTTCACTATGCTGTAATCTGCCTGCATGATCTAATGCTCTATGTTTGACTACTATTCAGCCTATAGATATACAGATTTATGGGTTTAATTTAATAAAAACAAATGTTCACTTTGCAAGTTAATTTTCCCGTAGCTTTGTAAATGTCATGAAAATTCAGTTTGTAGAATAATACCTACATGCAAGGAAAAGTAAAAAAAAAAATATTTTACTGTCACATAATTGGATAATGAAAGTCAGCAAAACTTCCCTTATGCTAAAAGGAAATTTACCTTACAAAGTGAAAATGTCCTTGCAAGGAAAAACAGCCTATTTGCTTTTAGAAAATCAACCTCTTTGAGTGCAGATTATGATTCATTTTTATGCAGGTTAACACATGTTGATAACATACATTACACATGCATATTTGTGAGCTTACCATACTTTCAATGGTCCTCCAACACAACAATGCAATAAACATTGTACCTGACTCTGGATGTAAAACACACTTGCACTGATTTGGCCAAATATGGGTCAGGCACAACTTTAAGGGTTAAAGTTTCAGGGCTTTCAAGTAAGATGTCAGTGAAGTGCTAGGAGAGTGTAGATAAACATATTGGGGTTGATTTACTAAAACTGGAGAGTGCAAAATCTCGAGCAGCAGCTGTGCATGGTAGCCAATCGACTTCTAACTTCAGCTTGTTCAATTAACCTTTGACAATAAAACCTGGAAGCTGATTGGATTCTATGCGGAGCGGCACCAGATTTTGCACTCTCCTGATTTACTAAATCAACCCCATTAAATCCAGGTGTTTGACTCACCAGATAGTGAAGGAGAGAAAGATGATGGCCCAGAAGGCTGCAATTTCAATTAGAAGCCAGCAATGCCAACTCCTTTACTAATTTCCTACATGTATGTAAACCCTAATAATAAACTTGCCTTATTTGCTACATTTTGGTCTGTTAAATATACCATTAAAAGTGTTTTGTCATATCTGTTTGACAAGTGCCAAAAAAAACCTGATCATGTTAGAAATTTGTAACTGTCTTGGACACACTTCCTGATTTTTATAAAGCAGATTCATTAATCCCTCCTAGTTCTTTTCTTGGTCTACAGGAAAAAAAAAACATTTCCAATGTTGTGGCGATGAGGACAGAGAGAGGGATTCAGTAGTTTAGTAAAATGCAACTTGACAGAGCAAACACCATTCAGTTCGCAAAAAGGCTGTTTGTTCTCAGCTTACAACAGGAAATTAGGAGCCAATTACGGTTTTAAGCAGTTAAACATTTTTCATTACTTGTAAAGTCTTTAATGGGGTAAAACATTGGAAAATGTGCATCATGTATTGTGGAGATGTACTGTGTATGTTTGTATTTTTATATGCCATTTAACCACTTTCCCATCGCCCTATAGCAGATATACTGCTACAGGGCAGCAGGGGTACGCACAATCACGTATATATCAGGGGCAGACTGACCATTTGAAAACTCGGGCACTGGCCGAAGGCCTGGGGTCAGTAGGGGGCCTCATGATATATGCCCCTGGTACCTTTTTCATAGGCTTTTTTTGAGTTTGGGCAAGGACACAGGGGCCCCATGATCCCCTATTGCCCGGGGGCCCCATGAGTTGTCAGTCTGCCCCTGGTGTATATATATATATATATATATATATATACGTGATTTTGTATTTCTGGGTAGGGGGCACGTGCACCCTACCTTCACCACTATTCGCGGCCTAAGCTGTCAATCACGGGGTCCCAGCCAGTGATTACTCGCCAGCACCCAGTGATCGAGGAGCATTACTAACTGAGGGGAGAGAACTGTATGTAAACCATACAGTTCTCTCCCATCAGCTCCTGTACACTGTTTTGCATGGCTCTGCATAGCAGAGCCATACAAAGCAGTGTGCTTACAGTGAAGCACACACAAACAGCACAAAGTAAAATGGCACACAGTTAACCCTTTGATTGCTCCACATGTTAACCCCTTCCTGCCCAGTGTCAGTGCTTTTTTTAAGCACTGATCACTGTATTGGTGTCACTGGGGATGTCAGTGACACCAAGTCAGTTCCTCCCAGTGTCAGAATGCCAGCCGCAGTCCCGCTATAAGTCACTGACCATTGCTAGTAAAAAATTTTAAAAAATCCCAGTATACTGTATATACCACCATTTGAAAACTCTATAACTTTCATGCAAACCAATTAATTTACACATATTGGGATTCTTGTTTTATCAGACTTGCCGCAGAATAGAATTTGGCCTAAATTTAGCAAATTTTGATTTTTAAAATTTTTTTACTGGACATGTTTAATAGCAAAAAGTCAAAAAAATTGTTTATTTTCTCAAAATTGGCGATCTTTTTTTGGAGGAAAGAGGGACGTAAATTTCATTTGGGTGCAGCGTTGCATGACCGCGTAATTGTCAGTTAAAATAACACAGCACCGTAATGCAAAAAATGGCCTGGTCAGAAGGGGGGGGGGGGGGAAATCCTCTGGAGGGCAAGTGGTTAAAGACTAGCTAATCCTTATGATCTCTTTAGAGAAAAACTAAATATTTTAAGCTCTTTTGACATTTGAGGGTGATTGGAGACAGTGGCCTGATCCAAATGCTAAAAGATCTTGCCTTACCTGTGCTACTTGGGGAACCAAACTTTCCCTTTTATGTTTTTGCAAGAAGGTAGGACAGCAGCCAGAAACTAAAGTGCCAGCTTTCCTCTGGGAAAACAGTAGACATTGGTCAAAATTTTCAACAACTTCCCCCAAGCTCAGCTGGCCAGGGATGTCTAGTACAGTCTGACAGAATCATTAGCTAGATGGGGAAATGATCATCTATGCCTAACTTCATACACATTTCTTGTAATAGGTAACCATTCCACTCAAACCAACTATTTTAAACCCAGCCTTTCTCTTTTTGCTTTTGTTTTTTTACGGCTGTACTATAACCACAAGAAAGCAATCCAGAACATGGGATAGCTTATCAGAAAAAAAGGAAGTTTTAATCAAGCTTGACTAAAAAGTTAAAAGATTTTTTTTTAAATAATTATTATTGTAAGCCTCACCCTGTTCTTCCTCTGATTGTGGATGTTTCCTTTTTGTCAAAATGTACTTGAGTTTCCTTGAACAGTTAACAATTGGAGACTTCATGCTCCCAGAGATAGCAGCACCTCATGCTTGCCAACTTATTTAGTTTGAGATTGTATTAACTGTGTGAAAGTGCTAATGAAAATCCAGTGGCATGGGTGCATAGTCTGTCCATGATGTGGGCCAGTTAAACTGATTTGGACAAAAAGTTGTTTCCTTGTTATGTACACATATATAAAACTAAATTGGGCTATGTAGTTGAGAGAATTGTTTCCAAAAAACTGGAATATATTACACTTGCGGTTCTCATCTACAGGGTAATACACCTGGAAAACAAAGTGAAAAACACAAATAAAGCTGCAAGTTAGGAGCCTATTCACTATTGTGGTGTGTTAGCCAATACACCAGCGTGCACCAAAAGAAAAAAGTTGTATGTAACATTTCTGACAGCGCAGTTGCTGCATGGTGCAATGTATGATCAGCATCAGCTTGTTGATGATTGCACAATGCTCCAATCGTGTTGAGCATGTGTGATTGATCACTACAAAATGCTACTACATGCAACCTGTGTAGCTTACTCCATACAAAATACCATGTGGACCACGCATAAATTAAGTTCATTAACCTCCCTAGCGGTATGATTATGTCAATATTTGTGTGCTCAAAGCGATACATTTTTTGCATGGAAATATGTTTTATTGTAGGCCTGAAATTTTTAGGAATAACTCACTGAAATCTGTCCGAACAAGAGTCTAGTAAACATCCCGGGTATGATAAAATTTGAAACAGGAAATCATAAATTATAATATAATCATAAAAAATAATATAATAATTATACATTAAAATCAATAATATCAAACCAAAAACACTGAAATTTGAAATAGAGCGCCAAGTTCACACATCACTGAACTTAGTTGCAAAATCGTTTTCAGTGTCTGATGACAAATTTCCCCACGAATCATCGCTCAATTCTGCAAGTGGTTCTGATTTACTATCCCTGTATTCTAGCTGGTCTAAAACTGATTTTAACATAAAGGGACACTTTTTGGACACCATGGACATTTCTCAGTTTCCAGGCAGAAAGAACAGTAAAAATGCAGGCAGGGCACAGGACAAAGCACTAGGGACAAAATGTATGTGAAATGCTTTGATACAGTAATGTTTTACTATGTGATTTTAGTGTATTTAGTGAATGTCACTTTTTAAAATTTTTAAATTTCCCGCCGGTTTCCGGCCCCCATACGTCCCGACGCTCACAGGAACCGGAACCTGGAAGACTGATGCCGGCATCGGCTGGAGGACACTGCAGGGGGGACATCGTGGGAGCACAGGACAAGGTAAGTGCAGAAGAGATCCCGGAGCAGCGCTGCAAGGTATTCCCAAGTGTGGCTCAGGGTTACCGCTTTTGGCACTGATAATTAACCCTGAGCTACACTCGGGAATACCGCCAGGGAGGTTAAATTTGACAATACATGAGTAATATTGCTTCACATGTACAAAGTGAATAATTGTAACATGCAATCCCACTTCGGAAAAATAAAGTGCTCGAGTGTTGGATACTAATTGGTGAAATTTGTGCAAAAATGACAGGTGCTCCTCTGTGCTCAATCAGTGCCCCACATGGATGTGCACTCACCGTTAGCCGTGGACCACCTATCTCTAGGTTGGTCTTAAGCACCTGGTTTGGGACTAGCCCAATGTGTGATGATAAGAATGGCACCAATATTCATTCCTGGGAATCATGCGATCTGGCTGATAATAACCAACAGGAAGATGACCAGCGTGGATATAAATGACAGTGTAGTTTCAAAAGAGCCTTTTTAAACTTTTTCCTCTCCTCCCAGGCAGTAAACCAAGTTTTGGCATGTGAACACAAAAAAAAAGCAAACATCCCATAGTATAAAACTATAAAAAAAACTTTAATGATGGGGAGAAATTATAAGAATAAAACTCACAAGCAAAGTGCCCATAACCTGGCACTCAGTGTATTCAGCCTTGCTGCCTGTGAATAGGAACCAAGATGTCCACCACATCCCAGCGTGCGTTCCAAAGGGCGGACATGATGTCAGCGGAAGTTGTGTAATCAAACCGTCTGGTTTCATTCAATAATCATCATTACTCCATACCAAGTCATTTGCGCCATCAGTTTAGGGATCAATTGTAAAACTCAGTGATTAACTATTAGAAATTACTAAAGTACTAAAATAGGGCCTCATTTACACAGGCATACTGATCTGTACATGGATGCGAGAGGGCTTCACTCACGTGGGATGCACAGGTGTTCTGTGCAGGCAGGCACCGCTTTCCCTCTGCCCTATAGCAGATATACTGCTACAGGGCGGCAGGGCTGCGCAAAATCACGTGTATATATGTGATTTTGCATTTCTAGGTAGGGAGTGTGTGAGCTCCTTACCTGCACCGCCATTTGCCGCCTCAGCTGTCAGTCACTGGGTCCCAGGCGGTGATTACTCACCGGCTCCCAGTGATTGCCAAGCAGTTCTCTCCCCTGTCAGCTCCTGCACACTGCTTTGCATGGCTGGGCATAGCACATAGATCATGCTTTGCTGGGGGGGGGGGGGGTTGCCTTCCTCTGGACCAACTGTGGGTATAGGATTATATCTTCTTTTTTTTTTTTAATGGTTGAACTGGATGGACTTCTGTCTTTTTTCAGCCAGACTAACTATGTAAAGCAGTGTGCTTACAGTGAAGCACGAACACAGCCCAGTATGTTAAACAGCACAGAGTTAACCCTTTGTTTGCCCAGTGCCATTAGTACAGTGTCAGTGCTTTTTATTAGCACTGATCACTATATTGGTGTCACTGGGGATGTCAGTGACACCAAGTCAGTTCCCCCCAGTGTCAGAATGTCTGCCGCAGTCCTGCTACAAGTTGCTGATTGCCGCCATTACCTGTAAAAATCAAAAATAAAACCCAGTATTTATACCGCCATTTGTAAACATTTTTCTTTCACGTAAATCAATTAATTTACACATATTGGGTTTTTTTTTGTTAGCAGACATTTTGGCCTAAATTTATGACTAAACGTGATTTTTAAACATTTTTTACTGGACATGTTTTATAGCAAAAAGTCAAAAATATGTTTTTTTTTCTCAAAATTTTCAGTCTTTTTTTTTTAAAGCACAAAAAAAACCCGCACAGGCGATCAAATACCACTGAAAAAAGCTCAATTTGTGTGTGGGGGGGGGGGGGGAGGGAGGACACACATTTCTTTTGGGTGCAGTGTTGCATGACCATGCATTTGTCAGTTAAAGTAACACAGCATTGTACTCCAAAAAATGGCCTGGTCAGGAAGGGGGGTAAATCCTCTGGAGGGCAAGTGGTTAAATCAATGACAAGCAACCAGCTGCACAGATCTCCACACACATTATGGAATACACATCAATGCAGGTCCATTGCACGGATTAAGACACAAACTGTGTCCTGATCCATACAGCAGACCCGCATGGATGTACACCCTGGGATGTGCGTGGAGTTCCACCGAACACCTCTGCGTTCTGCGTGGGTGAACACAGCTCATTTGCACAGTTGTACAAATTGGTACACTCATATGAATGGGGACTTAGCCGCTAAAATATTCTGTTTGGCTCTAGCCTAGTCAGGTTTCTTTCTTTAAGTGGTCAGATCTTTTAGAAGCAAAAGATAAAATCACCTTCGTACATTAATTCAAAGGATTTATTCACATAGGTATCTAAAAACACTGCATTTATAATAGATGCATACAATGTTAGGGGCGGAATGACCATTTGGAAACTGGGGCACTGCCCGAGGGCCCAGGGTCAGTAGGGGGCCACATGAGATGCCCCTGGTACCTTTTTCATAGGCTTTTTTTGAGTTTGGGCAAGGACACAGGGGCCCCATGATCCCCTATTGCCCGGGGGGCCCCATAAGTTGTCAGTCCACCCCTGTACAGTGTATAGTTTGGTATGCATCAATGGGGCCATACATACAGCTGCATCTACTATCTTGAATGTGCACTGCATTAGCAGCTTATAAAGAAAGTAGGACACAGCTGCACCCAGGGCATTCATATCTGCAGATTCTACTTGTGTAAGCCCTGGTTCACATATATGTGGCTGCGGGCCACATTTTGCGTGGGCACGAGAGCCCATTCATTTGAATGGACCCCTGTGCCCCGGGACACGCAGGGAAGAAGTCCCTGCTCTTCTGAAAATGCAGCCCGCACGGGAAGCTCAGTTCCCAGAAAGGTTGCGTTTTCCAGTGCAGGTGGCGTACCATTATTATTATACAGGATTTATATAGCGCCAACGGTTTGCTCAGCGCTTTACATTATAGTGGGAGACAATACAGTAACAATACAGTTCGATACAAGAGGGATTTCAGGGCCCTGCTCCTTGGAGCTTACAATCTAGGAGGGCGGGGTCAATGGTACAGTAGGTAGTCACTGTGGGGGATGGAGTGGTTGGAAGAGTAGAGGATTCCAGAATTATCAGAGGGCAGGATAGGCTTCCCTGAACTAATGGCACTCGCCGCGGGTCCGCATTTCTCTGTGTGGGTGGTTTTGTGTGGATCCACGGCCACACCACCCGCACATATGTGAACCTAGCCTAAATGCCTAAACACATACAGTAAAGTACTTAGAAGAATTGCACAGGTCTAAATTGTTAACAAAGTTAGCAGAAGATCACACAGGATCTTCTGCTAACTTTGTTAACAATAACCTGCATTCTTTATGGAAAATGTGCATATGTCCGTAGGAATGAAGCCTAATATAGCAACCATTACGGTTCTTTCACACAAACATATTCCATTTAGCAGGGGATCCATGAACAGGTTCCTTGCGGCATCAGGGCAAAATTGGATGAATGTCACTTTTGTGGCATCTGTGTCCATTCAGTTGTTCTGTCCACATTTTGATAGCAAATGTTTGCAGCATCGTGTTGGATCTACAGGCTGCTGAATGTAAACAGAGTTGTGTCTGTGTAAATCAGGCTACCTCTGTAGGTCTAGAAAAACAGAAAAGAAGACAGTCCTAGACTGACTCAGAGGTAGGTGGATGTACATGAACATCTATTTGTTTATATCAGCCTGTCCATAGACTTGCATGGGGCTTCCAGTCACGTCTGCCTGAAAAACTATCAGGCAGCGACTGAAAAGCCCATTTGAAGGGACCATAACTTTCATGAGTGATTAGTACAGTGATTAGTGTGCTGAAAATCTAACAGATCTTGTCCTGTATCCATTTTCTCTTCTAAACAACTTTCGTTTGCCTAAAAAATGTTCACTCCTTTGATGTCTCATAATGCAATTTCCAATAACTCTTGACCAGTTCTTTGACAGAGATGCCATTCCCCTAGAACAGCTCTAAATCTCAGTTCATTTTTCTAATTCTTGTTGAGTTGTTTAGAGCAAGGGAATGTTATACCTTGACTGTACGGGGCTTAGACCTCCATATTACTAGGTGAGGTCTAGGTAGGGTTAAAGCATATATATATATATGGTCATCATTTAAAATCGGGCAAGACACGTTTGTCCTGGTTATTGGACCAATACTGTAGTTTTACAGCAAGTATGAGCTTTAATATCTCCATTTTTGTATTCTTGTTTACATGTCCCATGAATAGTATTCACTTCGTGCAAAACTAACTGGAAGCTGGGAATGTGTGTGAATTTTTTTTTACCTTATCAAGTGTTTACATTTTTAAACTTGGAAGTAGAAATTCCATCATTCATAGGTTATATGCAGGTGGATGTATAGGTGTTTAACTTCAAATAGATTTCTGCACTCAGATTAAAAAATTGTAAAATGAAAGCAGCTAGCACAAGTGAGCAATACAAAACCTCATATAATATAGTGCAAAAAAGTGCAGCGCTAAACCATTAATAATCTAAAGTAATAATTAAAAAGTCCATCAACAAAAGTCCATGCTTAAATTAAACTCCACAAAAGAAAGTGAATCCAACCATCAATGGGGAAGGAGGAAGAACTCACACGGTCAATGGGTCCTGAGAGAATGGGTGACACCTTGATATCCCTGGTGACAACATAAAGTGAGTAGGAGCTTTTACCTGAGCTGTTAGGCTTTCAAATTTATGAAAAGCCAGCAGCACTTTAGGGATTCACCCCAATCATATCCACAGTAGATGGCATATTGGTATTTCAACCTGTGGTTCTGCTCCAACTCCGCTCTCCAGCAATGGGGGCATGCAAGATATAAAGGCTAATAGTGCAGTATGTCCTTATATAAAAGTTTATTAAAAGTAAGCTATTGCACTTATAATTGGTTAAAAGAATAAAACCGGCAAAGATAATCGTGGGGCTACAACAATCCCGATACAGTAGACATCTGATCCAGCCGGCAGCCTTTCAGCGTGGTGATGTCATATTAGACTCCCCCCAACGCGTTTAGTCATAAGGTGAATAGGTGTTGCAGCACACCACAGGTTGCACTTTCACCACTACTTCTGCCCAGAGCCCTTATAAGGTACTTAGGCACTGTCAGGGAAAATGGAGAATACCCAGGTGCACAGTTATGTGCTAGTGCCAGTTACCTGATGGCTGTGCACATGTGCACATGCGTGCGTGTACCGGTGTGCACGCCCACCACCGGTTCTGGCGCCAGGCGGGCTAGTTAAACTGCTGCTGCACTAGGAATCCTTGCCTTCTGGTCTACCATGTTTCTTGATCTGCTGTTTGTTGTATCCTGATCCTGTTGCCAACCTGACCTGTCCTGACTTCACTTGAACTCTGCCTGCACTGACCCAGCTTGATCCTGACTACGCCCTGCCCGCTCCCCTTGCTATCTACCTATGGTTACTGACTTCTGGCCTGAACTTCAACTATTTGCTTGCCTGCTCCCTGTACCTGATCCACCTGATAGATCCCGACTCTGCTTGTCTGACTGCTTCTTCTCCAGCCTGTGCCTTGCTATCCACAGTCACCGAGGTCCTGCTAGAAACCTGCCAGACGCTGTTCCTGCTACCTGCAACCTCCGCTCACCTGCATCCACAACTGACCTGCATCCTGGTCGTCCGGACTACCCACTTGTCGGCTGACATCACAGACTTGCCAGGCACTCGTGCCACTCCTGGCTCTTGTGCTCTCAGCCTGCTCTATCAGAAGCACAGAGCAGGAGGTATAAGAGGACACCCTCATCTCCACATCAGGCTCCCCCACCAGGTATGTGACAGGCACTTTCATCCTTTTGCCCCAAGGACTTCACTACAAGATGATACCTGGGTTACTATGTATCCTTCTACATACATGCTTACTCCAATTCTGCACCCTAATTTGTGAGTACCACACAGAGTAACACCCTCACTGATAGCAAGGTTGGAAGCTAGGCACAAGAGCACCCCTGAAAGAACTCAGACACACTCTGGTGATGGTTTGCAATGCTCTCAAACTGCTCAGAGTAACAATGTTTTCCTTGCATCCAAACAGGACAACTTGGTCTTTACATCAAATTCTAGCTCTATCTCAGGCAAGAACCCTATCTGGCCAAGGCAGATTTTTCTGCAACCATGACAGACCTTTTCGGAGGGCACTTAATACAGCCATCACTGTCCAGACCTCCAAAGTGCCAGGCTTCTTCTCCATCCCACCTTCTCTACCTGAGTTGAAAGTAAATATACTGTACCTGCTTTAGAAGTGGTAGAAACGGGAAAATGAAGAGGATCTGAAGACAGTGGTAGAAGGGGTTGTGCAAGATTTCACACCCCCAGACTCCTATACACCTGATACTCTGGCCTCATGCAAAATGTTCACCAATGTAGACATGCTCACTTCTGCCATGTGCAAAAATCTCAGCACAGTTAGGTACTAAAACACCTGAAGAGTCTAAAAAGTCTTTTCACATTCATAAACAAATAGAAGGGGCAATTTATAATGATTGGAGTACTTCTAGAAAGATTTTCACTCCCCTGACAATCATTCCTGTGTTAT